TTTTCTCTGCCGCTGCAACTCGTCCCTCCTTCCTATGGCAAAGTTTGGCAAGCTCGCTCGCCTTCTCTCTATATGACTTGTTGTTCATGACTTTCAAGAGTGCCTTGCTCAACTCCTTTGCGCTGATATTGGGCGCACGGCTCTTGTTGCCATAGACGCCAATACCAAGCCATTCAGCTCGAGCTGCGTTCTCGTAGCAGTCTTGCCAGGCTGGAAGCACAACATGAGGAACACCGTTTCTAGAGGGGTCAGTCACAGTTCTCGGGGATCGAGGGCAAGGAAACTTACTGAATGGCCTCGTACCACGAGTTGGCACCTCCGTGATGAACTGAGCAGACTACCCCACCCGTCTCGAGCATCGCCATCGGCTCGACCTCAAACCAAGCGCGAACGCGGACTGAATCCTCCTCCATCTCCCGCTTCAATGGCTCGATCGACCGACCGTAGATGTCGTCCACGTCGTGCGGATGCTTGGGCAGTTTCCAGAGAATCTGGACTTTCTCACCCTTCCAGCCATCGAGAAACATCTTCAGGCCAGTGGCAATTTCCTCCGCAACCTTGGGATCAGGAGCATACAAGGTACCTAGATTGACCAAAATAGTCGGAGCATTCGCGAGCCAGCGCGCCATCTCCGGGTCCTGCTTCTGCACCGATGCAGTTGGCAGCAGAATTGGCCCACACGGCAGAATGTTATCGGGCATAACACTGAATGGCCAATCCAGCTCCAACAAGCCTGGTGAAATGTGAAATCGATCGGGCCGCCATGCATCTGCGAAGGGGAACCTGCCATGGATCTTATGCTTGATGCGCCATTCTCTGATTTCACGACGTCTGCCACTGCCGTGGTACATTTTTGCCGTCTTCAGCACGGCAAGGGCATTGAGGGGCACTGTATGCCATGGGATGGGATAAGCGAACCCAGTGCCAGGTCTGGAATTCATGTTAATAAAGGTCCGAGGGTCGCATGGTTGGCAGTACATACAGAGGATACTTCCAGAGAGCCGCAGAATTGGGTTGCATGCCCAGGACAATGTGACTGATTGAAGTCGTGTTGATAAGAATGGCCGTGTGGCCGGCATTGTACGCAGCGTCTCGGCCCTGAAGGAAGAAAAAGTCGACTGCTATCGCATCCGGCTTGACTTCCTTGATGATCTCGACACAGCTTTCATAAATGTCAACATACTCGTCCTCGGTCCAGCCCCAGATGTCTTCGCACAGAGACTGGAACCCTAAGACTGCACCATGGTAGCCGGGAGGATGAAACGCACCCCTCTTTCCGGTCCGGATGAAGACATCGGTGTTCGAGGGGCCTCTCACCGGGTGAAAGTGGATGCGAGACCGGAAATCCTCGTCGTATGCAGCAGCATTGTCAGCTACCAGCTTCTCAACCCGGCGCTCAAGGACAGGGAATGAGCCAATATGAACATCAACATTGCCTTGAACAAGAAGCTCATGAGTAATGGCGAGGATGATGTTTGTTTGACCATGTTCGCTGTTTGCCAGGAAGAGGACCCGGCTGCGCTCGTCTGCCATAGTCGGCAAGAAAGAATCTGTCTGAATGGAAGTGACAGATTTGAAGTACAGAAGAGGAGAGGGAAGGACTTGTCACACGAAGGGCTTATATAACTGAATTGTCACCAGAATGGCAGAAAAGGGGACGAGCAATTGGGAGGGAAAAGTGGGGAACACAAATTGGTGGAATGGCCCCAGAAAGATCTATCACGAAAAAGGGAAAATGGTGAAACATTCGCATTCGGACATTGACCGTGCTTGGACAACGGTCTGACATTTTGGCGTTGAGGCCCTTATATGAACCTGAAACCGCGACAAGTCAGAGTATACGATGTTTCTGGTAGATGAGAGCGGATGCGACTGCCGCAGGGGCAAGCATAAACTTTGGGCCCGAGGATCCCCAAAAATGGGGCAGATCCACTCTTGACCCTGACCCGGGTTCGATCTATCGTCGGAAACTCAAACCACGCGCCCAATCATGATTGTCAAGAATCACGCATACATTCTGGTCTGATCTGATTAACTGGATCAGTATCAGGCCGAGGAACCTGTGCAACGGAAACCTGGACTGAGACCGGTAGATGCATCTAGCCGGATGGGACCAGGAGAGTAACTTTGCCTCAACAGCGGTACAGCTAGTTCAAGCGTGATTCGCCTAGGGGTCCTGAGAGACCATGGCCCATGCATGATAAATAGATCTGGCCATAGCACGTCTGAGGCGACTTTGTGGTGGTCAACTACTTTCGTTCTTGCAATTGCACTCGTTCCTGCAATCACTCTCGTTAAGATGATCTTTCTGGCCATGGCCGTGCCATCGGGGCAGTTCGAAATCAATCCTTCGGGAATAATCTCGCTCCCAATTCTCGCCATTGTGTTGGTATGTTGGCATCATACAAGCTTCTTGACGGGTATGACTGACACACCACGAGATCCCTTGGCTTCTCATTCTTTTCATCCAATTGCTTCCTAAGGGACCAATCATCAAGGGGGTCCCAGGCTCGTTCCTTGATTTGTTTCTCTGCGGTGTACGGTTTCCCTTCCTCTTTGCACAGACAACGGAACGACCGTCTAACCACCCTGCATCTGCAGTCTGCCACCAAGATCGCCTTCCTGTCCGGTCGGAGTGCCCACTACTTTCATTCGTTGCACGAATCTTATGGTACACTTCCCCTGATAGCATCTGCGGCCTCTGTGCAGATGACTGACATGACTCAGGCAAGATTGTGCGTTTTGCTCCGGGCCAGGCAACTACAAATACCGTTAGAGGTCTGCGCAACATCTATGGTGCTGGCTCGGGAAAAGGTACCGCCTTCCTTAAGACCGGTTTCTACAAGGGTATCTCGAGACGGAATATCTTCACTGCGAGTGACCCTGTCTACCATGCCTCGGTACGAAAGCTGTTCGCTCCTTCCCTTAGCCCCGGCAGCATGCAGGCCCATGCAGGTGTTATCAAGGAGCGGATTCTCCATTTGCACACGACTATGGAGGAGAAGCTGGAGAAGACAGATACACTGTCTCTGAACCAGCTACTCTACTGCCACTCCGTTGATACTGTGTCGGAGGTGCTGCTCGGAAAGCCCTTGGGCTGTCTCAAGCGTGGAAAGCCTTATTTCTGGACCGAGCAGCTGCCGCGCATCTTCTACTGGAGTACCATCCGTGATCAATTCAAGGGCTCCGGAGTGCCGACCATGATCAAATGGATGCTCCGCCATTTGATCCGCAAGGGTGTTCGCCAGTTCGCAGAACAGGCGAGAATGAGACTCATCAATGAGTGAGTGCTGACTAGCATACGATTAAGTCCATGGCTAACATGCAAACAGACAGCTTGGTGCATCTCACACTCGTCGGGACGTCATGGTCGAGGTGATGGAGCGGGCAGGCACAGGCGACCTGCCTGTTCCTGAAATTGCCGAGAATTTCTCCGCCATCATGCTGGCTGGTTTCCATACCACCCAGAATGCTCTCTGTGCGACCATCTACTTTGTTCTGACTCATCCTGAAGTGCACGCCAAATTGAACCAGGAGTTGCGCTCGGCCTTCACGTCCGCAGAAGATGTTTCAGGGCACGTTGCACAAGAGCTGCCATATCTGAACGCTGTTATCACGGAGTCCCTCCGCTTGTATCCTCCTGTCCCAGTGGGAGGTCCGCGTGTTTCACCCGGAGCCTACGTGGATGGCACCTATATTCCGGCCGGAGTAAGTTTATCTGATATGTTCCCTGTCCGGCCTATCCCCCGCTAACCCTGCCTTCCCATTTCAGACTGAGATCTGCACTTCGATCTTCGCGTTGCACCATAACCCCGAATATTTCAACGAGCCCTACGAGTTCATTCCCGAGCGATGGACGGAGCCAGGCTGTACGGACAAGAAGGAAGCCATTCAGCCTTTCCTGGTGGGCAGTCGGTCTTGTGTTGCCAAGTACTTCGCCAAACAGATGATGCAGCTGACTCTGGCTGCGTTCTTCCTGGATTTCGATGCAGAATATGTGGGTCCTGTCAAGGATTGGCAGCGCGAGAGTCGCTGCTATGCTTTCTGGGAGCTTCCCGACCTGAAGCTGAAGCTTCAGAAGCGTGAGATTGATTAATTTGGTGGACCCATCGATCGATTCAAGATTCTAGATTCAGAGGGGGCTGGTTCTTTCTCTGGTTTGGTTCTTTTCTCCCACCACCCACATTCACTTATTCATCTATTGATTATTTTTTTTCTCTTGACTGTTGTGTCATGGCGACACTCACATTGATTTGCGGATTGACAAGTTGGCTAGTGCTTCAGGTTTGGAAGTGGATCTATGTTATACCCCGGTTAAAGTTCAGGCGTGAAACGAAATAGTTAGCAGTAGACAAATGAGAGTGTCAAATCTCCCAAAAAACAAACGGAATTGAGTTTTTACTTTCGGAGATTGCCCTAAGTTGATTAAGTTGATTAAGTTTTGGTTTGCACGGTACTCCGTAAACGTTGTTCGGGGAGCTTGGTAGAGTGGCCCAATTTTTGAGGCCGTCGCCAATACGAACCCCGGTTTCAGCTTTCAACCATGAATGAAGAGTTTGAAACCCAGCCCGGACCAGCCTGAGATCCCCGTCCGTCTACCTCCACCTCTTAAACAGGCTGTAATATCCGATCTGTCGATCTGGTTCGGACACCGTTGTGTTTCAGCCGCAAGGCTGGGGTGATTGGAGTTGACTGGAGGTGGCTGGAAGTGACTGAAGATGACCTGTCTACCAGCCCTAATAATTGGACCAGGGCCATTTGGCTTTCCGGTCCCTGATCGTCTCCTTTTGCCCATCCAGGTGAAACACTGGTTCAACACAACTGGCACCGATTCTCATCTTTCGGTCCCTTTGGTGTCTTTGGTCCCGTCTCTTCAACTGGACTCGTCGACAGAATAATAATCAAGAAATTGGTCCAGCCGGTTACACAATGAATGACGATAGGCACGATCAACCCACTTTCCGTGGTACGAAAAAGTCCAGGTAGTTGGGCCTCCGAGGTTTCGATTATAGGGGACCTGTCACGTCCCCAGTATCATTTCATGTGATGGCGAGTTTCACTTCCAGTTCGCACCACTCCTTCACTGCGCCCATTGTCCTCACTGTCTTTCGACTGTCTGTCTTGGCTCAATCAAGCCACCCTACCAACCGAGCTCGCTTTGCTCCTCCGTTCCGACCGTGTGAGATGCTGCTGCTGGGCAGCTTGGTGATAGGGACAGACTGAGCGAGAAATAAAAAACCATCTGCATGATGAAGTGGAAAGAAGAAGACATCTGCTTGGAGTCAATACCCACGGTCAGAAAACCTCAGCGTCTTGCTTCATTGCCACAATCGAACCCACTGACCACCGTCCTAAACAGACTCCTGCCACCGACAGCACCGTCATCGCCCTGTCGGAGGTCGAGAAGAGCATCCTCGAGCAGCAGATCCGTGTCCCCGTATCCAAGCCCGGGTTCTTTGGCATTTATCGCTATGCCAGCCGGTGGGATCTGGTCTTCCTGCTGCTTAGCTCGGTCGCTTCGATAATCGGAGGCGCTGCCTTGCCGTTGTTCACCGTCAGTTAACGACAACGCTATCTCTTGCGATGCTCACTCATAAAGACTAACCTCGTGGAACAGGTCCTCTTTGGTAACCTCACATCGACCTTCCAAGACATTGCAGCCGGGCGCATCACGTACGACCACTTCCACCACGAGCTCAACAAATACGTGGTCTACTTCATCTACCTCGCCGCGGCGGAGTTCATCACCATTTACATCGCGACGGTCGGCTTCATCTACACGGGCGACCATGTGGTGCAACGCATCCGCGTGGAGTACCTGCGGGCGATCCTGCGCCAGAACATCGCCTTCTTCGACAGCCTGGGGGCCGGCGAGATCACGACGCGGATCACGGCGGACACCAACCTGATCCAGGACGGGATCTCCGAGAAGGTCGGCCTGGCCCTGACGGGGCTGTCGACCTTCGTCACGGCGTTCATCATCGCCTACATCAAATACTGGAAGCTGGCGTTGATCTGCAGCGCCACGCTGATCGCCTTGCTCCTGATCATGGGCGGCGGGTCGATCGTCATGATGGTCCACAGCAAGCGCGCGCTGGAGTGTCAGGGCCGCTCCGGCAGCTTCGCCGAGGACATCCTCGACTCGGTCCGCACGGTCGTCGCCTTCGACGCCCAGAACGTGCTCGCCGCCAGGTACGAGGCGCAGCTGCGGGAGTCCGAGGCGCCCGCCCGGAAGTCCCAGATCACCTTCGCCGTCATGGTCGGCGCGATGCTGGGCGTCATGTACCTGAACTATGGGATGGGCTTCTGGATGGGCTCGCGCTTCCTCGTCGATGCCCGCGAACACGTCAAGGTCGGCGATGTCCTCACCATTCTCATGTCGATCATGCTGGGTTCCTACAATTTGGGCAACGTCGCCCCCAACGTGCAGGCGCTGTCGAATGCCGTCGCCGCCGCGTCCAAGCTCTACAGCACGATTGACCGGGCGTCGCCCTTGGATGCCTCCTCCGAGAGCGGCAAGATCCTCGGCCATGTCAAGGGCAACATCGTCCTGCAGAATGTCCGGCACGTGTATCCTTCGCGACCGGAGGTTGTTGTGACAAATGACCTCAGCGTCTACATTCCTGCTGGAAAGACCACGGCGTTTGTGGGGCCGTCAGGGTCGGGCAAGAGTACGGTCATTGGTCTGCTGGAGCGGTTCTACAACCCCGTCGCCGGCCATATCTCGATCGACGGACACGATCTCTATACGTTAAACCTGCGATGGGTGCGCCAGCAGATCTCATTGGTCTCGCAAGAGCCTAGACTGTTCGCGACCACGATCTACGAGAATATCCGGTTCGGGCTGATAGGATCGGAGTACGAGAATGCGCCCGAAGCCAGCATCACCAAGCGCATTCACGACGCTGCGAAGATGGCCAACGCGCATGATTTTATCATGGCGTTGCCGAAGAAGTACGAGACGAACATCGGTGGATTCTCACTGTCAGGAGGCCAGAAGCAGCGAATCGCGATCGCGAGGGCCGTGGTGAGCGACCCGAAGATCTTGTTGCTCGATGAAGCGACTTCGGCGCTGGACGCGAAGTCGGAAGAAATTGTGCAGGCGGCGTTGGACAACGCCTCGAAAGGGCGGACGACGATTGCCATCGCCCACCGACTCTCTACCATCAAGGAGGCGCATAATATCGTTGTCCTGGTCCATGGGCACATCGTGGAGCAAGGATCGCATTTTGAGCTCATGAGCCGGGAGGGAGTGTACTATGACATGGTGCAGGCGCAGCAAATCAAGCAGAAGGAGGCCGCGAAGCGACACGAGTCAATGACGTTCTTTCTCGATGAGGATTATATTGGAGGCGGGATCCCAATGGACGACGAAGACGACTTTAGTGACGACGCCTCGGATATTGTGCTGAAGACCGGGGCGAGGCAGAGACGTAGGACCAGGATGTCCATGTTCATTCCGCCCTTACCATCCAAGCACAAGGAGAATCTGTCGCTATGGGCGTTGTTCAAGTTCCTTGCCTCGTTCAATCGACCGGAGTGGCCGATCATGATCCTGGGTCTCTGTGCATCAACCCTGGCGGGGGGCATTCAGCCATCTCAGGCGGTGTTGTTTGCCAAGGCAGTCAACACGCTGAGCTTGCCGCCGTTCGAATACCACAAGCTGCGCCACGATGCGAATTTCTGGTGCTTGATGTTCCTCATGATGGGCCTGGTGACACTGGTCATCTATGCCACCCAAGGGACCCTGTTCGCGTACAGCTCCGAGAAACTGATCTTTCGAGCCCGAAGCCAGGCATTCCGGGTCATGCTGAACAAGGAGATCTCATTCTTTGACAAGGAAGAGAACACCACAGGCGCTCTGACGTCGACCTTGGGTGCCGAAACTAAACAGCTGGCCGGAATCAGCGGCGTCACCCTCGGTACCCTGCTCATTGTCACTGTCAATCTCTCAGCATCCCTTGTCGTGGCTCTGGTCATGGGCTGGAAGCTTGCTTTGGTATGCATTTCAGCTGTGCCGGTCCTGTTGATGTGCGGCTTTCTTCGCGTATGGATGTTGGATCGATTCCAGCGCCGAGCGAAAGCCGCGTATCAACAGTCTGCGAGCTCAGCCTGTGAGGCGGCCTCTGCCATCCGGACTGTTGCCTCTCTCACGATGGAAAAGCAGGTTGTCAGTTCCTACGAGAAACAAGTACAAGCCCAGCTCAAGGAGGACATCCTCCCCATCTTCAAGTCCTCCGCCCTCTATGCCAGCTCCCAAGCGTTGCCGTTTATGTGCATGGCTCTGGGCTTCTGGTATGGAGGGACGCTCCTCGGACACGGAGAGTACACACTCTTTCAATTCTACGTGTGCTTCAGCGAAGTCATCTTCGGCGCTCAGGCGGCCGGGACTATCTTCTCGAACGCGCCGGATATGGGCAAAGCGAAGCATGCGGCCGCGGAGTTCAAGAAGCTGTTCAGCAATCGGTCGACCACTAAGCATGCTGAGAGCAAAGCTATCCATGTGTCCTCCATGCAAGGGTCGGTAGAATTCCGGGACGTGTCTTTCCGGTACCCGACCCGGCTGGAGCAGCCTGTGCTACGGCATGTCAACCTCACGGTCAAGCCAGGACAGAATGTTGCACTGGTAGGGTCGAGTGGTAGTGGCAAAAGCACGATCATTTCCCTGTTGGAACGCTTCTACGAGCCGGTGTTGGGTGAGGTGTATGTCGACGGGCGGGACATCGCGACGCTCGAGAAGAAGTCCTACCGCAGCCACTTGGCTCTGGTCAGTCAGGAGCCTGCCCTCTTCCAGGGCACGATCCGAGAGAATATCCTGCTGGGATGTACGCACAAAGAAGCGGTGGCGGAGGACACATTGGTGCAAGCGTGCAGAGATGCGAACATCTACGACTTCATCATGTCGTTACCGTAGGTGATCCCTTGTTCCTTATTCATCCTCATATTTGCACATTGTATTGCCCCCACTTGGAAACCCAGTCAGCTAATATCTCTCTAGACAAGGGTTTAACACGCTCGTCGGCAGTAAAGGCGGTATGTTGTCTGGTGGGCAGAAGCAGCGGATCGCCATCGCTCGGGCGCTGATTCGTAACCCTCGCATTCTTCTGCTGGATGAGGCCACATCGGCCTTGGATTCGGAGTCGGAGAAGGTGGTCCAGGCGGCATTGGATGCAGCCGCGAAGGGCCGCACGACGATCGCGGTTGCGCATCGATTGAGCACGATCCAGCGGGCGGACATGATCTATTTCCTCGATCAGGGAGAGGTCGTCGAGTGGGGCACGCACAAGGAACTGCTGCGTCGACGAGGAAGGTACTATGAGATGGTCAACTTGCAGAACTTGGCCTGATGGGAGTGAGGTGTACGATAATGGGATAGGCGTTTGGATGATGGGTTCTTCACTGTACTGTACATATACCTCATAATCATGGTCGACGATTGGAGCCGATAAGCGATAAGATAAGAAAGCACCGAACTCGGGACACGGACCCCTGCGTGTGGTCTAAACAGGAATAGTGCGGGGTACCGGCTTACCTCATCATCTGGAGATGGTTTCAATCTTTTTCTTTTAGGAAATTGAAAGTACTCCCCGCCCACAGCCCCTGCAAATCCTCAAGTCACGCCAATTCACCTCGCCATGGCTCTCCCCGCTTACAAGACCTCCTTCCTGGAGTCCTCCATCTCCGCCAAGGTCCTGACCTTTGGCACTTTCACCCTCAAGTCGGGCCGTCGTACGCTTCCCCTCTCCGAAATACTCTACTATCTGTGACCCGTCCGTTGCTAATCTAGGATCCTACTTAGATTCCCCATACTTCTTCAACGCTGGTACCTTCCACACGGCTTCGCTCCTCTCCGCCCTCTCAACCGCCTACGCCCACACCATCATCACCTTCCTCGCTGAGAACCCATCCATCCCCAAGCCCGACGTGATCTTCGGGTGAGTTGAACACCGCACAACCCATCCCCCAAACACAAACCATTCCCCCGGATATACCTACGTCTTCTTCTCTTGAACTCAAATTCTAACACCCACCCCCCCAAAACAGCCCCGCATACAAAGGCATCCCGCTCGCCTGCGCCACCCTGCTCGAGCTCCACCGCCTGCAGCCCGACGCCTGGGCCGAGGTGTCCTACAGCTACAACCGCAAGGAGAAGAAGGACCACGGCGAGGGCGGCAGCATCGTGGGCGCCGGCCTGAAGGGCAAGAACGTGCTGGTGATCGACGACGTGATCACCGCCGGCACGGCGATGCGCGAGACCCTCGACCTGGTCGCCCAGGAAGGCGGTAAGGTGGTCGGCTTCGCCGTCGCGCTGGACCGCCAGGAGAAGATGCCCGGTCCCAAGGACGCCAGCGGCGTGGAGGACGACGCGCCGCGCATGAGCGCCATGGGCCAGATCCGCAAGGAGTACGGCGTGCCCACGACGAGCATCGTTACCCTGGATGATCTGATCCGGTTGATGGAGGAGAAGGGGGCTGGCGAGGATATGCGCCGGTTGGAGGAGTATCGGGCTAAGTATCGGGCTAGCGATTAGGCGGGGGCAGTCTTGGCTCATGAAGGTGATTCTGCCGAAGAAAAGTGGAGGGATGGCCTGGGAGGGAGTTTTGTCTATGATTATGCTATAGCTTAGGGGATAGCATCAAGTTTTCTTTTATCGGACCTTCGGTATGGATTGAACGGGCTTGGTTTATTTCAAATCAACCGGTCCATGCTCTCAACCACTCGATTGGAGAAAATAATGGTCCCTGCAGAGATTTAATGACGCATGTTTCAGGAGGATTTGCGTCGGGCTCAAATGTTTCGGCGATTTCTCGTTCTCCCTGAAGCTCGACAGTGTCGACGTTATCATATTATTGTTCGGGGTTGGTCCGGAGAGAGCTCGGCACCGAACCATCGCCGAGTTTGCGCCCTTATCTTTTCCCATCGTCCCTTCCAGACTCTCATCGACATCTCTACTTACTTCATGAAAGAATGTACCACAACATATCGTGCAACTGTGGGCTCTGATCTTGCGTCATAGATTAGTAGTCCTGGCTGGGCTAGTTGCAGCTTGCATGAGCAGAGTTTTCATGATCACAAATCTCTGCAGCTCACACGAGCTGGATGACAACACATCTCCGACCTGAAGCTATGCTCCCAACGATTTCACATTTTGAGGCACTTGCAGTCGATTTCCACTGGCTACAGCTTCTTGAGCACTGTTGTCTTCATGTTTATATGAAGATTCGTCATGAAGATCAGCTTGTTGCACAAACACAGCATCTGGTTGACGCGGCTGGGATCATTTGATCTGACCAAATCTCAGCTGCAATCCCTGGCTCAGGGTCAATCTGATGCAAGATGCAACCCGAAGCCACGAAACAGGGACGATTTAAGACCGAACCGGCTCTGAGTCACCCAGATGGCGTGTGTTGGCTCCAGGAACTGGGTAGAGTGTCGAACGGTTCAAGCTCGGTGCGTCTCGGTGATGGATCGGCGATGCGTCGGCCTTGCTGCGTACCTGAACTATACGAATCCGACATCCAAAGATATAAATCAACACCGTTCCTATACATAATCTGCTTGTCTCTCTTACAATAGCACACAGAAAGGCATCTCAAGTCCACAGTCTACCAAAAGCTCAAGCCATCTCATTCCATACAATCATGGCACCACCTATGTCCGAGCCCCAACGGGCTATGAGCAATGCATCAGAACAGCCACATCTTCTTCGCACAGAAACTCGAGAGTCCTTAACAAATCGCGGAATCTCGCCCAGCCCTCCGCCAGTCGACTACAACTACCCAGACGTCGGTCGGCCTGCCGACCCTGTGTTCCCGGAGGAATATACCATCGAGACCAGCACCGGCCTCGTTCCCAAACGCACGCTTGAACAGATCCGCTCGCGTCAAGACCGGCAACCGTCGTCGAGCTCCTCCTCGGACCTCGAAAAGGCCGATGACCAGCCTACCGAGTTTGTCACCTTCACCATCAACGACCCCGAGAACCCTTACAACTGGTCCCGTGCCTATCGCTGGTACGTCACCATGGTCGCCTCCCTCCTTGTCGTCTGCGTCGCCTACGGTTCCGCAATCGTAACGGGCGGTCTGGGCCTTATCGAAGACAAGTACCACGTCTCTCTCGAAGTGGCCACCCTTACCTGCAGTATTATGGTCTGCGGCTTCGCTGTCGGTCCCCTTCTCTGGTCCCCCCTATCGGAGATTATCGGCCGGCGGCCGGTCTACATCATCTCCCTGGTGCTGTACACGATCTTCAACATCCCTTGCGCCCTGTCGCCCAACATCGGCGGACTGCTGGCATGCCGCTTCCTCTGCGGTGTCTTCTCCAGCTCCGGCCTCTCGCTCGCGGGCGGCACCATCGCGGACATCTGGTCCATCGAGGAGCGAGGCATGGCGATCGCCTTCTTCGCGGCGGCCCCGTACTGCGGCCCCGTAATCGGCCCCATCGTCTGCGGCTGGATCACGGTGGGCTCAGGCCGGCTGGATCTCTTCTTCTGGACCAACCTGGCCTTCGCGGGGGCCGTGGGCATTCTCGTCGGCCTCGTCCCGGAGACGTACGCGCCCGTGATCCTCAAGCGGCGCGCGGCGCGCCTCCGCTCCGAGACGGGCAACCCGCACATCATCACGGAGCAGGAGCAGCACAAGCCTTCCCTCAAGGAGATCGTGCGCACCTCGCTGATCCGCCCGATCACCATGATCCTCACCGAGCCCGTGCTCGACCTGATGTGCATGTACATCGTGCTGATCTACTCCATGCTGTACGCCTTCTTCTTCGCCTACCCGGTCATCTTCGGCAAGCTGTACGGCTACAACGACGGCCAGATCGGGCTGATGTTCATCCCGATCCTCATCGGCGCCGGCTTCTCGCTGATCTTCACGCCGCTGCTCGAGAAGCAATTCCACCAGATCTGCAGCCGCCGCGCCCCGACCCCGGAGGACCGGCTGATCGGCGCCCTCATCGGCGCGCCCTTCGTCCCCATCGCGCTGTTCATCCTCGGCGCCACCTCCTACAAGGGCATCATCTGGGTGGGGCCCGCCTCCTCCGGGATCGCCTTCGGGTTCGGCATGGTGCTCTGCTACTATGCCGTGAACAACTATATCATCGACAGCTACCAGAAGTATGCGGCGTCCGCGCTAGCGGCCAAGGTCTTCCTGCGGTCCGGAGGCGGCGCGGCGTTCCCGCTGTTCATCACGCAGATGTACGATCGTCTGGGGCTGCAGTGGGCGTCGTGGCTGCTGGCGTTCATTGGGGTGGGGATGGTGTTTATCCCTTACGTCTTCTACTGGTTTGGGGGGAGGTTGAGGGCCAAGCTCAATAAGAATTGAATTTGGGGCAGAGGAGAGGGAGTCGTGTTTGCAGCAGATATGGATACAGAACAAAAGTCTGGTCGGTCGGTGGGGGAGTATAGATAATGTACAGGATCAATAATGTTAATGGTATTTATGATAGAATAGATAGAGATTTAATTGCATGGTTTTCATTTTAACACGCTTGTTCCGAGGGCTCTCTGTCATCTTATGTGCCGTATCAACGGAGAACAATGAATTGGCTACTGATCTTGCATGAACCCACCTTGTGAGGGGACATGGGCGGGGCAGGCAGGTTGTTCCTGGTCTGTGGCTGGCACGCGGGCTAGATGTTAATCAAGAATGGCTATCTTAGTCTATGAACTGTGTGACCATTAGTTGGACCTAAATGTGTATTATGGCTTGAGTGAGGATGGTCATTATTTCATCTATGATTTCTGCATAGGTACATTACTGTAGTGCAAGGACAGATAAGCTATGAGATGATAACAACGGTCTGGCCATGATCTCGTCACCGAATGGCCAATCCTCGCGGCTTGTGTGCTATTGTTGGATAAGAGAGGTGGGGGCCTTCCCCTCCCCAAATAGGCATGAGTAAGAATGAGTCATGCTGGCTCATCCGGGGTGGATTCCTTCTTCTCCGGCTCGGCGGGTGCGCTTTAGATGGGGTATCATCCCGGCCCATTTGGTATCATCGTCTATCACTTCGACTCATCATGATGGATGGTAGGGAGATACAAAGTCAGATGTAGCTATAAGATTGTAAATAAACCATGGTAGAGTGGTATACATCATGATGATCAATGATCTGCATCATGAGTGTACCTGAGTAAGTGTGTCTACTTACTGGACTGTATTTCTACCCATTCTAGCACCATGAAGAAACCCCCCTACAGCTGACATGCTTCGCATTACTGAGGCGCTTGGAGAGAACACGATATAGGAAGAACCTCTCCAAGGTTCCAGGGCCGACATCATCTGATTGCTTTTGTTGTTTCTTGTTGTTTCGGAGATGTAATGATGGGATCCTGCTAATGAGGATGATAGGGGTTTCATACACACGACTACTATGCTCTTCGATAGATGAGCAATGGCATAAATCTCTACCCCTTTCTCACTCTGAATTGCAGGACATACTTAGTACTGTACCAAGTCTGCAAGGCAGCGATATCACCACCATTATTCCTCGACAGATGCAATGCCAGCAGCTGTATAAGTCACACCCAACTAAAATAACTCCGATAGAGCCCACCCCACCGCCCCACACACATCTCCCCAAATGGAACCCGCCTCCCTGTCCGGCCCATGATTTGATCTCCCGACTCTAAGAATCCCGGCACCGACCGATAAGGTATAAGAATCCCCCCTCTCCCGCATTCTCCTCTCCTCCTCATCAACCCATCGCTTCGGCGAACAAGCTACCCCCCCTTCTTTCTTCTCTCCCTCCGGTCTTCCGGGTCCGTGACCCGGGTCCTAAGTATACAAGGATGGCAGTCGCAGCAACCACCGCTACGCACGCCGTCAGGCAGCTCACCCCGGCCGAGTACACGGCAGGGCAAACCGCTTAATCAATTTCACCATTCCCCCCATTACCCCGACTACTATTACTCCGACCTCCATCCCTATCTCGATCTTTCTCTCGTGCCTCCTGCAACGGCCTTCCCTCCCGTTGAATTTGACCCATCTTTCTTCGCGACCGATCATCTCGATCAAAGCTACTACCCCGATCCCACTACCACCACCACCACTACCAACAACCACTTGGACTTGAACTTCGACTTTGACTTCGACATCAACACCCTGGGCGACCTCGCAGACCCCGTATCAGACTCCGCGATCAACTCCTTGCTCAGCTCCCCGGATAGTCTCAGTGAATCCTACCTCTTCGAATCGCCAAGCGTGCAGTCTCTACCTGGTACGTTTCCTGCCCGATCCCGATCCCATCCTCGAGTAAGCAAGTAAAGTATACTAATCGCAGAACAATAGACCCGCAAATCCAAACCCCACCCCCACTCTCACAGCCACAGCAACAACCCCAGCAGCAAATGCCCGCCGTGACGACGGACCGCCCCTCGACCAAACCAACCTTCACCGTCACCCGGGTGGCCACCACCACCAAAGAACCGCCCAGCAAAGTGAGCAAGCGGCAGCTGAACACGCTCGCGGCGCGGCGGTACCGACAGCGCAAGCTGGACCGGGTGAACGAGCTGGAGGCGGAGCTGGCGGCCGTGAAGCGGGAGCGGGACGAGCTGCGGATGCGCGTGAGCAAGTTGGAGGGGGAGACGGAGGCGTTGCGGGGGATGGTGGGGAAGAAGTAGGAGTAGTCTTAATCACATCAAATAAGTTAACAATCACAACCACATATTGCCCTATTTCTGCAAACCAATATCAACTAAACCCATCGGCCCTCCCCCTCCCCATCCCCATCCCTTTCTAAAAGCAACATCTCCTTATCCACCCCATCCTCCACCACCAACCGCCATCCGCCCGCGACCTGCTCCCCGCCCACCAACCGCACGGGAATCCTGCCCACCTCGTCCGCGCCCCACCCTTTCTCCGCCGCGCGCTCCGCGATCCCGCGGCCCCCGTTCGACGCGGCCGCCACCACCATCTTCATCTCCATGTAATCCCACCGCGGTAGACCCCGCCACAGCCGCGTGCGCCCCATCTCCGCCGCCACGACCAGCAGCAGCGCCAGCGAGGTCACGAACACACAGATGATGTACGGGTGCGACCCGACGCGGAACGCCTCGACCGTCACCGTCGCCGGCGTCAGGCGCGTGAACCCGCCCACCATCAGCTGCGCCGACGCGTAGCCGGCCAGGATGTCGTCGATGAGCGAGATGTACACGTTCGTGATGCCGGCGAGGGCGATGGCGTCTTCGGATATGGTTTGGTTGGCTGTACTGGGTGTACTGGTTGTGGTATTGGTAGTGGTGGTATTGGTGGTGGTGGTGGTGGTGGTGGTGGTAGTCACGGACGTGCGATAATCGGCGATACTGGTGTTGAAGGCGTCGCCGAGGGTGGAGCGGTAGAAGCTCGTCAGATCGTTGGAGATGAGTTCCAGCTGGCGCATGGCGACGTGGATGGTCTTGTTGGTGGGGTCGATGTCGGCTGTCGAGTTGCCTTGCGCTGCGTTCCCTGCATCATCATCATCATCGCGCTTGGCTAGTCCTACAGCTGCAGTAGCAGTAGCAGTAGCAGTAGCAGTAGCAGTAGCAGAATCATCCCCAGTCCCCGCGGCCGCCCGCCCAACCCGAATCTCCTTCCCCGCAACCCCAACCACCACCTCAAACCACTCCGGCTCAAACACCACCACACACTGACTCGCGTTCAACCCGACATAATACCCGCCAGCCGCGACAGCCACATACCGTTTTCTCGTGTACGCGACCGGCTGCGCCGCCACGCCCACCGCCACGATCGTCCTTGTGCTATACCCGGTATACACGGAATACTCCCCACCGCTCCGCACGCTGGCGTTGACACTATCCGGCAACGGGCCGCGGGCCGCATACAGCGCGTACTCGCCCAGCTCCTCCAGCCGGAACGCCGTGGACCGGTTGTAGGTGCACTCGACGGTGGCGACGTACCCCGGCTCGAGGTAGGTGTAGCCCGTGGCGTGCGGGTAAGTCGTCCGCAGTCCGGAATCGGTGAGCCCCACCGCGGCGCCCACGCCGTACGATCGCCCCGTGTAGCTGTACCCCGTGTTGTCGAGCTTGGGGTGCACGCGGCTGGCGTTGGCCAGGAGCGGGGAGGCCGTGCTGGCCGAGGAGATCAGGGCGGTCAGTTGCGCAAGCCCCACGGAGTAGGTGAAGTAGCCCTCGGCGGTGCGGGCGGTGGGGCCGGTGCGGTCGATTTGCGACGGGTACTCGATTATGAAGCTTGTATTGCTGTAGGAAGGGATCTGCAGGGGGTAGAGGTGGGTGGTGGTGGTGGTGGTCGGGGTGAGGGCTCCCGTCCAGAGGGCGGAGAGCACGGCGGAGAGGTTGGCGAGCAGGAAGGTCACGCAGAGGAGGAGCGGGGGCAGGGTCCAGTTCGCGGCTGGGGTGGAGAGCGAGGCCCAGAAGCTGAGGGTGGTGAGTTGTGTTGTTTGGGTCTGGTGGCGGTGGGCGAACCGGATGCGCGTCGCTTGGTTGATGAGCCGGCAGATGATGAGAAGTTGCACGGTGCTGAGCAGTGTGGCGAGCGCTTGGACGCCGGTTTGCACCGAGGTGCGGTAGCTGTTGATCAGGCCGTAGATGGATCCGTCCGCGATCGTCCAGTGGAGGCTGTCGGAGAGGAGGAGGATGATGCTCAGCGTCGTCGGGAGTAGCAGGAGGAGGAAGATGAGGTGCTCTGTCCAGGGGACTGGGCGGGTGGGGTTGGACGATGGCATTGGTGATGCTATCTATCTGCCTGTATGCACCCATTCATTTATTTGTAGTCGACAGTTTTCGGACTGGTGAGGTTGTTGTAGGGCTTATATCCCCGCTCAGCCCTAGCCGCCCGTCGCCCGCCGCCCCGGAGCCCCCGACGCTGGTCCTGACCGGCGCTTAGCACTGCTCGCATATTGGTCGTTAGCGAAATGAAACAGCCGGAGAAGTTTATCAGTGCCACATGGCGCGAGGCTGATCGAGGGACATTTTTAGTCGTTCATTCACCGCAGGGTTCAGGATCTTGGCTGCGTTGACACCAGAGCGTGGGCCGTGGCTGTTGGATTGTCGTAGGTAGGGGACTGGTTGCTTTTGCCGCCCCTTTCTCATATTAATAGCTCAGCTTGATCTGAAGTACCACAGTATTATCGATGACAGCATCGTTCGAGCCTGAAGTCGGTTTCTTGCTATTCTTTAGCCTTACCACTTGCGTTCCGAAATGTGGAAACCCCCTGTGTCACAATGGACTATGCCTACGACTCAACTGTCTCGGGTTGATGCTTGCTAACTACTACTACCATGGTCAAAGAATCTAATACTTCTTTCTTTGGATGGTACATTAATGCTGGCTGGTCAATTGTCGCCCATTTAGTCCAACAAGTGACAACAAACGATCATGATACTGTGGTGAGAGACTAGGTAGACCAGCTATGCCTCTAGCATACTAGCTCGACTGGAAGCTGTATAGCATTAATCATCAACAACACACCATCTGTCAGCATCTCATCAATTAATAAGCAATGTCATTCTATATGTCAGCAGCTGCGCAACCCTAGTTCCATATAAAAGAAAAGAGCAAGTATAGTACAGTACATCCCCAGATCCACCCCAACTCTAATCGAAACCCACCGTACCCAAGAGTCCAAAACCATCACCATGCCTCTCGCCATAACCCTCACCTCCCCGCACACTCCAACCCTAACCACCATCCCCCCACCCACTCTCCGCCCGGGGACCCTCCTCGTCCAGCCCAAAGCCGTAGCCCTCAACCCCACCGACCTCAAGAAAGCCAGCTCCCCCAGCACCCCGCTCAACCTGCCCCTGGGCTGCGACTACGCCGGCACCGTCCTTTCCATCCACCCGGACACAACAACCGACTTCCAACCAGGCGACCGCATCTTCGGCTTCGTCTCCGGCTGCAACCCGCTCCACCCCACGGACGGGGCCTTCTCCACCGCCACGCCCGCCGTCGCCGCGCTCCAACTCCCCATCCCCGCGCATCTGTCCTTCGCCGAAGCCGCCACTTTTGGCATTGCCCTCACGACCATCGGCCAGTCCCTCTACCAGACGCTGAACCTCGCTCCGCCAGACACGCCCCTCTCCGACCCCCTCCCCATCCTGATCTATGGCGGCTCGTCCGCGATGGGCACCATGGCCATTCAGTTCGCCAAACTCTCCGGCTATCGGGTCTTCACGACCTGCTCGCCGCGCAACTTTGAGCTGGTGCGGTCGTACGGCGCGGACGAGGTTTTCGATTACCGGGATCCCGACGCCGCGGCGCTCATTAACGAGAAGACCGGGGACCGACTGGGGCTGGTGATGGATACGATTGGCGGGGAGGAAGCGGTGGCGTTCTGTGACCGGGCGCTGTCGACTGACGGCGGGGAGTTTGCGACGTTGTTGACGGACACCGTCATCCCGCGAGAGAATGTGCGGACGCGTATCACCGTGGCGTATACGGCGATGGGGGAGGAGCTGGAGTTGGGAGGACATAGGATCCCGGCCCGAAAGGAGGACTATGATTTTGCCGTGGAGTGGATGAGGAAGCTCTGGCCATTCTTGCAGGATGGTAAGATCAAGCCTCACCCGGTGAGGGTTGTCGAGGGAGGCTTGAAGGGTCTGGCGGAGCAGGGATTCGAGATTATGAGGCAGGCGAAATTGAGTGGGGAGAAGTTGGTGGTTGAGGTGGAGACGGAGTAAGATCGGCTCAATATCCTTACCATGGTGTTCTGAATTGTAATGTATTATGCATATTGAGTAGCGATAGATGAAGTCAGACCTCACAGCTCATTCCGCAGAAAGTCGTCAATCATATCAGCTCCCGGGAAGTCCTCCCATGAGAGGCCGTCAAATATAGATAAGGGCGTGGGTTGACTAGCGCCGTCAAAGTCACCCGGGTCCTGGAGCAGTCGTTCCAGGATTGCACGGCTGCGACTAGCACCCGGCCAGACTCGCTCAATCTCGGTGAGAAGGCAAAGAGCCGTACGTCCTTGCGAGATCTGCTCTGAATCAACGGACTCGGTCATCCTCAATCTGTATCTCGTCAGTTGACGAAGTTGTATGCGAGGATAAGATGCCATACACAAATATCCCAGATATAGTTAGATATTGGACACAAAAGGCTAGATGGTGCGACGGTGGTATGCAGTCATGAATCAGTTCAGCTGCCTGGATACAGCTTTGTGCAGCTCCAAGGCATTCGGAAGATGGATCGCGAAGAAGTGGATGTGGTTCCGGGCGTTTGAAACCCAGCAAAGGCCTGTAAATCGGTCAGAAATGTGCAAGACGTGGAAAAAAAACCACCTTACCGGTATAAGTTCATAAGAATAGCCGAGTGCAAAAGAAATGCTATAGCACTCATAGTCAAATTTAGCCCACTCGGGCCCTTGTTAGCAGAGTATCGAATCTCGTCTGGGAGTTCTTGGACCCAATTATCAAGCTGCTTTGTGAATATGTTGACATTGGTGAGCATAGTAGTCCAGCTTTGACCGGACGAGTCTCCGCGTCCCATTCTGTTGGACAGATGGAAGTGGTGTACTTCGGCGGCCACCTTGCACAGCCGGATCAGCGCGATGAAGCCCATCATCGATGAATGCGGATGCTGAGTCTTATAACCACAGTCAGAGCCTTGTCCCAGATCCTCGTTGCTGATATCCAGGGGTAGGTCACAGCAAATATGGGCAATATGTGCGGCCATCGGCCGTCCTAGGCATATTGAAGTCAAACTAAAGCCATCAATCAGCACCGGGTCGAACAGTCTTATAAACGTGTACCAACCAATCGATCTCGAATACGCTCCACCAAACACAGCGAGCAATCTGCGCTTCCTTCAAATCCAGCAAGCATGGTGTCTTTCCTTGAGGTTCCCTCTGCAGATAATTAGTGAATGACTCGACCATATTCATTGATAGCATACCTACCAGACTGGAGAGATGCAGACCAAGATCTTGCGCAATTCGAACTGCCTGCCCAGCCAGTCGCCATCCTTGCGCGAGAACATTCCAGCCTGCACAACAAAATGCAAGCAAGCCAAGACACTGAACTTGCTCAATAAAGACCTCACCGCTGGAAGCGAAGAACATGAGTAGAGCCTTCTGATAGAACTCCACACCCGCCAAAGTAGACGCACCAGGCGCTTGAGGAAGTAAGCCCGAAGCACAAGCACAGACTGCAAAGAAGACGGAGAGAAAGCCTCTGTCAAAGCCCGTCAAATCCCTCGTATCTTTCAACTTCTCATACTGGATCATGAAATCTGGTTGATATAAGATAGGAAAGGTGTAATGCAATCTCTCAAAGTAGATGTCGACCAGTAAGTCTGAGATGTATCGGGGAGGTCGCGTCATCTCCCTCGCCTGCGGCAGATACGGTAGATCGGGCCACGTCTTATCGCGAGTAAAAAACGGCAGTTCCACCTCTGATCTTCTGATAAAGCTGCTCTGTTCACAGGATGTTTGATCACTTGTTGGTGACAAGCTTTGAACTGCCTCGATCACCATGTTGTTGGCTACTCCACCAACATACCTGCAAGGTCAGTCAGCAGCAAGTCGAAGCATGTTCAGCTTGGTTTGTACCTGAGTCGGCCGTATGAGTCGGCCACCATATGACCCACTAGATCTGCACTGGCTCGATATGCAGGGGGAGGGCTGGTGGGATGCGAAGCAATAGGAGAGGCGGTTGATGGCTCGACCGCTGCCTTGTAGCTTGTCTTTTCTGAGAGGTGATCCGTAGAAATAGCCGTCGCAGGCGGCGAAGACCCGACCGTTGGATATTGCCCGATCTGGTTGGAAGCATTGCACGAATGGTTGATTGCCTGCGCCCGAGTGATGTACTGGGAAAGTGTTTGGGCTAGGCCCTCCAAGCGGATGCACAACTTATCCATGTGCTGGCACCGTTCCTCCAGTGATGTTGCATAACTAAGCCAGAGTCAGTGGGGTGGCCATTCCAGGTTATTCATATATTTCACCGTCGACTCGTCGCGGCATGATCGTTAGACTCGGGGTACTCGCAAAGGTGGTTGCGAGACTCGCACATGAAGCATGGCTGTTCTCCGTCGCATTTGATCTTGTTGGTTAAATCAGCAGATGATATGAGCCGTGCACTGCATATCGGACACGTACCTTCTTCCGCCGGCAGGAGAAGCATGCCTTCCAGACTCGTCCATCAGGTTTCTTGGTCGAGGATGCCATTTGTCTGTTTGCTGCTGGGGCAGTCAGTGTATCGGAGGGGGGAGTGAGGGAAGGGAGCAATGTTCAAGACTCCGATGCGACGTCAACTGTTCTTATCAGTCAGTTATCATAGGAGGTGATCCTATCTAATCTCTCCCCCTCATCTCCCGCCAATGGCCTCGAGAAGGACGAGCAAGACCCACTTATAATAAGTCACTTCTATAGAAGTTCGGCATCGTGGCTAGTGGCAGGTCTTTTCCCACGTCGCAGCCGCCTACTAAATCGATTCAACGAGAGGCAATGAGTACAAGCCACGGTGCGGAGTAGGGTCGGATGGCATATGCGTGAAGGCACATGGTGCGAGCAAGTGAAAGACGGACTTTTGCACCGAGATGATACAGTCATTAGTTCAAGGCCGTGGTGCTCTGGTAGGTATATCCAGAGAAGGTTGAAGGGGGAAGAATGAGTTTCGGCACCGGCTCGAGATCCGATCCGAAAGAGGCATATAGCACCACCATCACCACCATCACCACCATCGTACCTCCTTGACCATACCGTTAACCTACGCACCCTGCATCAAACCATGTCACAAGAAGAGATCTCTCAGATCGCCTCCACGACCGACAAGACTCGTCTACAAACCTCCCTCGCGAGGGCAGCCGCACGAAAAGGCCCTTCGATCGGCCAATGGCTAGAATTGCCTGGCTACTCACTCGCAAGGACAGTCGCAGGTCTCGGGGAAGACGTACGCCACTCTCACCGCTCCCCATCTTCTCCCAACCGAAATCGCTAATATTCTGCAATAAAGTGGGTTCTCATAGATTGTGAACATGGCAACATCGACGACAAAGACATGTACCTCCAAGTCGCGGCCATCACAGCGGCCGGGGTGTCGCCCATCGTGCGCATTCCCGCCCTCGATACCTGGATGATGAAACGGGCGCTCGATGCAGGGGCCCATGGAATCATGGTCCCAATGTGCGAGACCAAGGTCTGCTTCACGCCCCCAACCCTGCACTGTCTTTCTATTCATAGGATCTTACTGATCTGCCACCAGGAACAAGCCGAACTCGTGGTCCGAGGCTGCAAGTACCCTTCCGCGCGATGGCCGCAAGGGATAAGGGGCACCGGAGCCATGTTTGCACCGAACGCCTTCAACCAGAACGGGCGAGAGTATCTCACTCATGCCAATGATAATATCACAATCATCGTGCAGATCGAGACGCGCCAGGCGGTCGAGAATTGCGAGGCTATCGCATCCGTCGAGGGCATTGGTTCGTGTCTGATTTAAGGCAGCCTAAGAGTGATCACGCTAATCAAGCGGGTTCAGATATGCTCTTTGTCGGCCCAAACGACTTGGCCTCGTCAATGGGGTACTTTGCTTTTGATCATGCAACGATACCCGAGGTGCAAGAAGCGATAATCAAGGTGTTGCGAGCGACTAAAGCAGCTGGAAAGTACGCGGGGCATTTTGCTTTGTCTGCTGAAGCAGGTAGGTTTTCATTTGAGTTGATGGAGAGACATCCGACTTACTGACGTCTGAGAACCAGCGGCCGAAAAGTACATACAAGGGTTTGACTTTGTCAACTCTGGAGCAGACATCGTCGCTCTTACTTCGTGGATGTCTTCCGAGATGAACAGATTGAAGAAGCTGATTGAGGGAAGCGAGTCTAAGCCTCGGGGCCCTACGGCAGTGAGTAGCGTGAGTGTGGGATACTCTTGATATCGGTTTGAGACCTCCAGGTCAATCAGCAAATATTGTGCAATTTTATGCAGCCGTAGATTGGATAGAACGTCACCCTCACTCATTTGATCAGAGTCAAGGACTAATCGAATGGATGTATATTACCGCTCAGCAGTATGAGCCAATATGTTGGTCACTGGTCGTAAAGACGCGAGGGGGAGAGGTAGACGATTTTGACAAAGAACCCGAGAATATATCCTTATTGCCCCCTTCTCAGTCTAAAAAAAACGACCATCTCGAGACAACAGCCGAGAATACTCACTCCCGCCACCACCCCAGTCCAAAGGCCAGAACATCCCGATGGTTCCTAGTGATTCGGTACTCTGGCGGTGGAGGAAAGACGCCATCTCTCCCAGCCCTCGACAGCCCAACGATACATCTGAACATGAATCAATTAGCTCCTGAGACGGAAGATAGGTGGCAGAACGTAAAATAACCGTCGGCCAGGATCAAAAAAGATCTGCTCAGTCTCCTGCATGAAGAAGCCCCCCCCCCTTCAGACGCATATGCCTATTCGCACAAGTTTCAATCCCTGGTCAGTACACCTCCCCGAACAGCCGACAAACCCCAAGAAAGAAACCTCACTCCCAACGCATCAACAACCTGGTCCCGAATCATCCGGTTCTCGAGATACCCGAGGCTGGGTATTTCCACCACGCTGGTGCCGCCAGCGAGACCCATCGCAATCACCCAGACATGCCAACCATCTTTGAGGGGATTCTCGTCACCAGGAAGTTCGGCACACCCGTAGTACTTTGGGAAATAGACGGATTCCTGACACGCTTGCAGGGCCTGGCATTCGTCTTCGAAGCACCTCCGCGCCATGATCTCCTCGGGATGAGGTCGCGCTCACTAACTCCTTTGGCTGTCATTCCGATGAGCGATGGCGCTGGTTAGATGTGAATGCGGATGAAAATGTACAAGGATGCCCACGTACTGGTAGCGTACTTTCAGAGCGTATCTTTGCGTGTCGTGGGGGACTGTGGCTTCGTAGACAACCCATCGCTCGTGGAGCTCCATATTGGACTTCTCGGATAATACGTCAATGATCGTGTATTCGTGGTTGTTGACTGTTATCACTCTTCCGATTTGGTTTTCCATCATACATCCGGATGGGAACCTATAGTCCATTCTGAGGTAGTGGTGCTACAAAAGTAGTTGACACGAGCAAGGGCGATACTGCGACCTTGAGCAAGATAGTGGAGAGTACTGTACAAGACAAGTGGGGAAGTTGTAGGATCAGAGCTTTGGAAGTTATCCCCGGGTTGACGTCGAATGTACACAATTGGCAATGCCCGGAAATACGAATGGCAGCAAGTGCTCGTTGATTAGGTGAACAGGTAACGCGGCTGTTATTGAATAAAGACTAACGAATATTGCAGTCTAAGGTTTGTATATGCTCCAATACTGAAGGCACCAGATTACATACAACAGCTTACAAGCTACTGAATTCACAGCAAGATTCCCCAAGCGCAGTCGACACGCTTTCCCCTCAACGAATGTGCCTGAGTCTTCAAATTGTCGCTGAAGGTCAAAGGCATCTATGAATGGTGGTGAAATGGACCTTTCATTGGCCAAGGCCTGGTTAGTCTATCTTTAGGCTGGTTATGCATTTTTACAAGGTTAAAGTTAACCTAATATTTATGGATGTGTAAAAGATCGACGGTGACTAGGCGTTTGGGTGCTGGCTGTCCTTTGTCGCCATACAAAGAAGCCTGCCATCGCGAGGCGGAATCGCAGGCTGCGTTCCCAAACTCAGCCCAGGCAACTTGAATGTACATGCAGTGTTGAAGACTATCTCGCTAGCTAGGATGCCGTGACAAACACAGTAACGTGGCCTGAGGGCAGTTGATATATCCTATACTGAGATGGCAAACCATCATTATATGTACGTGCTTGCAGTATTACAGCCTGTCAATAGCGACACGAACCTGGAGACGACTGAGCCTGACTTATCTTAATCAATTTCATGCCCAGAGAATGGAGAACATGAGCTTGAAACTAGCAAACCGTGGCCGAGATCTGAACGACCTCCTTCAGAGACACACCAATAAGCTAGATCTAAGCGCACAAACAAGCACTCATGCATGCATCGGGCGGAACAGGCTTGCTGTGTATCATCAAGGTTTCACAGAATCTGGACCCCTGGTCGGTTTGATTGATTCTGGTTCGGACTGGAGGGGGCTGGAGGATCTGCCTGAGGGTCCTTGAAATCTTCCGTCCGCTTACTGTCATGTGACTGTGCAGTCAGTATGAGTTGGGATAGTTCGGAGGTCGGAAGATGCGGAAGAATCCTGTTGCGGGCGGTGGTCTAGCACAGGCTCAGTCAGGATATTCGCTCCGCCCAGCAGGCAGAATTCGATGATACAGCATCCAATAATGTAGCTTTGCTTTGACCAAGCTGAAGCGCAGAGCCGCTGATGCACCCCCAAAATCAAGAAATTTTGTGCAATCGAGCAGGGCGGGCAAAAGTCTGTTCCTGCGACCAGTCCCGGCGTGTCCGCCTCAGGCCGGGCCGCCAAGTTACCGCCGACGATCCCCACCAGGGACTGGACTAATTATATCCGGTTGGGTGGTGCAGGCAGGCAGGCAGCATGATTGTCGAGTCCAGTGTCGAATCGACTAAACGCATGATAGTGAGTTTATTAAGTGGGGGGAGGAGTGTCGAAAAGGTATGACGTGGGAATTGTGACTGTCGCAATGGACAGAGACAGAAAGCTTCACCTGTGGTGCATTCTGCGCGGTGTTAGTGCTTATCGGCACCATGGTGGGTTTAGGGCGAGGGCCGATACTGTCGATCGTGCGGACAAATTACGTCGTTGGCCAGACGGGTGGCAGAAACGTTGCCGTTTCAACGCCCCACGCTGTTTCAGGTTTGGAAAAGCCGAATACGGCTGTTGGAATACGAAGCGGAGCTGAGACAAGTGCTCAAGTTGATGACAAAGTACAATAAGATGAGTAGGGAGTGAAAGGAAAGTCTTAGGTCTGTCTGTCAGTGTGGTGGTGTGGGATAAGTGTCAGTGAATTGAGGTGGACAATTCTAGACCGAGGAGTCACCAGAGTCCGCAGCAACATCATCTCCAGCCAATAATGAAGCCATCTCCGCTTGGTCGCTTGGTCAAGCTTTCGGCAAGGGCGGAGTGGTGGAATGGAAGAGGGGGTTGATAAGATGAGAATGAGAGATAGCAAAGACTGATTGCGATGGAATTGTTGCCATTGACGAATGAGTCGACTGTGAATAAAACACACTCAATCTGTAAACAATCTACCTACCCGGGTCAATAACAAAGTGAAGAAAAGAATGGGCTTATTCGAATACAACCGAACCCAGAGGCAGGCACCCCAAGGAATCGAAGCGCACAAGTGGAGACGCGCCGACCGTGCAGAGGCTCACCCAATGGCAATGAGAGACGGCCGTCAGCCAGCTTGGAACACAGCCAGCAGGCCGCGTGGGCAACCATCGAGTCCATCCATGACTGACCTGACCCGACCCATGTCACTCTTCCTTCGATTTCTGCCTCTCTCTCATTCATCATGTTCCCAATCTGATTTATAAATAATAACAGTGGGCCCCCTTCACGCGTCCGAATCAGTAGTGGTCGATTTTTTTTCTCTCTCTCTTTGTCCTTGGATTGCTTGGATTGCTTGCTAAGTGGTGCTATTATCTTCGCTCCGATTCTCCGATTAAATATTGTACTCTTCTCTCTCTCTCTCGTCGGACTTCTTCTCCTCCCTCTATCTCTCTTCCCCTCACTCACTCGCTCACACCACTTATCACCATCGAATCAATCTGTGTCTCACACCGAACAAACAAACCATTCAATCGAGCATGCGATTATAAATTCGCACACTCCCGCCTTTTCCCCCTCCCCTCCCAAAAATAAATCAACGACACTAGACTAGTCCCAATTCTAGTCAGTCTCCATCGAGGGTACTCGGACCACCAACCTCCCCGATCGCAATCAAGCCCACGCATCGAAACGGCCGTGCCCAGTACTCTATATATCTCAACACTACTGCAGGAAATCTCCAGCACAGAAACCCAGATTGCATCACTTTTAACCTCCCTAAAACCACACACACACACACACCTATATATCACACCTCACAAAATCCTCCAAAATGGGCACCCTCAGTACATCCGCCATCATCGTCATCGTCATCGTCGCCTGCCTCGCCCTCGTCTCGCTGGGCGCCGCCCTCTTCAAGACCTACGGCGGGCCCGAGAAGGAGCGGCCCTACAACTTCTCCCGCGAGCAGGAATCCTACATGCGCACCGTGCGCTTAAAGAATCTGGGCTTCTTCCAGCGCGAGTCCATGATGGGGTACCCCGGGGCTGGTGGCGGTGGTGGTGGGAGTGGGAAGGGCCCGGCGGCGCCGGTCGTCCAGGATGTCGAGTCGGGATGTATGTTTCCTCCCAGAACTTCCTTTTAGTCATTTCTGAAGAAGAAAGTGGAGGCTAATCTTTCCTTGAAATTTGCAGATTCGGAGAATGATTCGTCGCATTACTAGTTTCCGTCTTTGTTGGCACGACTATTCCGGAGGGCTCCGGATCTCGCTTCGATGAGGACGATACGATACCATTTTGCGAAACCCTCAAAAAAAGCTATTTGTGAAGAGCGTGGATATTATATGAATTGACGATTATGGGGGTCTTTTCTTTGATTTTCTCAAACCATTCGGGGTTTTATACTACCACTTCTGCTGGGTCTGATTTTCCAGCGGTGCTGAGGGGCTGGCGTTTTGAACTTGTCTATATGCTTTCTAGATTATACCTATCTGCCGTTCTTGTCAATCCGACTATTGTCTTATAGCTATTGGGTGTGATTCCATGTTCATTGAGTTTGACGAAGACTGGCAGGTTCAATCTCATACCTTGTCACGTCCAATCATGGGAAAGTGCTCATGCTGTGACTTCACAAGCTCAGGAAAGAATCTCTCTTCCCCCACACCCCCAAAATCACCCCCTCCATTCCCTCTCCAGGAAAATAATAACTCTCCGCCTTGATACCCCGCACCACAGCAAGTAACGCGTCTTTCTCCGCTTGGGACGCCTCCCGAAACGCCTCCGCCCCTAGCACCACCGCCAGACTCGCTGTCAACGCTGCCGTTGGACTCTGCCGGTTGGCTACCGCCACCCCGCAGATTTCCCGCACTGTGGTACGGATCTCTTCGTCCAGCACGGCAAGGGCCCGACGGTGCGACATGCGGGGGCGGAGCCGGTCAACGTGGGGGTCGTGCGTGGCAAGTAACAGGTCGATGAGCCCGAGGGATTGCATGGCCACAATGTGGGTGTCGTTGAGGAACCATTGCTGTGGGAAGAAGAGTCTTTCGGAGGGTGAGGCAGAAGTAGTGTAGATGGAGGTGAAGCTCGAGGGTGCGCTAGCCGCCCAACTTTGGCGGAGGTTGAGAAGGTGTTCATAGAGGGTGGATCTCTGGCCCGGAGATTGTTCAGGAAAATGGACTGGCGGGAAACAGTATTGAATGACATGCGCCCCGATAATGAGCAGCCGGTTCGTCCAGACATGGTCTGGAGAGGTTCGGGTGGGGAGGTAGTGAGCCACAGTGGAGAGGGGTATACGGAAGGATCGACGCTGGGAGATAGCCATGTGGAATTCCTGCCGGAAGCCGACCCAGAAGGCCGAGGAGCGGAGGCCATGACACGTCTGGATCGCGGAAGAGGCTTGCGCTTCGAGAAAGACTTGGAGGCCGCGGATGGCGGTGTCAGAGGGGGGATCGGTGAAGGGACCTGATGAATCAGCTGAGTTGCTCTCTCAAGGGGCTAGGAATGGAAGAGATCGAGAGAAGCCATACTGTCAAGTTCTTCATAGAACCGAAGAATCACAACCGCGGCAAGCAAGTTCTCGTCCATGATCGCGTTGGGTTCCTGGCTGGCGGCACGTAGGCCGGCGATAGACCGACTGTGGTAGGCGAGCATGGACTCCTCGCCAATAGCAAGGCCTTCTTTCAACCCATATTGTTGTGTTATTGCGAGTTGACGTTGTTGAGGGAGAGTGCTGAAGTGTCGGGCGGATGCGGAGAGGATCGCGTCCAGGAGAGGAGCGCAGATGCGCGCTCTTTGTGGAACAACGACGGCAAAGTGCCTTTCCGGGTCACACAGGTCGAACTGATGGTGTGAGCAGTAGCAGCACAACCTTATCGCAGACAACGTACCCATAACCCGAGACTCTCGACAAAATAACGGATAAGACAAGCCTCCTCTAGGCTCAATTGTGCCTGCGTGGCCTGGTTTTGTGATTGTGGTGACGGTAGATCAGCGGAGAGGGGGGTAGTGATTGCAGATAATCTCGGTTCATCCCATATTCGTTCTGAGCTGCGAATGCCACCATGTTCGATCTGGCGGGTTGGATGAGAGGGAAACGCATCAGTCTGCTCCGCGCCAATAGTCGTCTCTGCTGCGTAGAGGGCCGCCAATTCCGGAGTCTCATCGACGTACTCAAATGCACGGGTGCCTGTTAAGAAGTTAGCTGCGATTGTAACCAAGAAAAGAGCCATACTGATAGTTAGTGTATTTGGCGCATCAGAAACATCCTGCGCATATTCTGCGCTGGTTGTATTCAGAAACTGCAACTGTGGGCTGGAACGAATGCATTCTCTTCCAGCATTTTGACATCGTTCGCATTTGGGGCGAGAGTCATCACCTATGAGGCAGATGAAGTGAGCTTAGCATCGAAGGCTACGGGATAATTCTGAGGAAAATGCCTACATCGCAGGTGGTGTCCTGGGTTCAATGTGTAAGCGAGCAGCTCACAAGAGACAAAAGTTGAGCACTTACTTCGGCAATATTCACTAGAGCCAATCAGTAGTAATCATAAAAAGAAGATACCCAGGGGTGCTTACCAAGGTTGACGCCTTGATGGCATGCAAGGCAGAGAATCGGTGAAGGTGGGAAGGAGTAGTTGGTGGAGGGGAAGAGAAGGATCTCACAAATTTGGAGGGGTTCGGCGACGATTGCCTTTTCGGCTACTCCATCTACGGGCAACCCCGCCCTTCCATGGTTCAACTAATCAACTGCGTACGGTGCCTTTAATGATTCTTCAACCGAATATACCTCAAACTTTATAGTCCATCATTGGGATCCCAGATCTTGAACCATCGCTTATCCATCCCCGCATCTCCTTCCTCATAGAAACGCAAGTCCGTACTCAATCGAATGCGCCCCTGCGCATCCTCGTTGCGCCCACTAGCATGGATAGTATACGGATGGTGGAACACCACGTCGCCCGCCTCATAACTAGTGGCCAGCCACTTTTGAGACTTGGAGGCCGGATGATCTGACACGAACTCGTCGGGCGACTTGGCCAGCATTCCACCAGCCATCATGTTGACGTTATAGGCGGAAAGGCGCTGCTCGGTCGTGAACCCAGCCGCGCGAGTGGTAAAGTCCTCCTCAATCTCATTTCCCAGTGCTACAGATTTCTCCAGGTAGCACAACCCTCCACCATTGATTGAGATATCGCCTGGATGGGTTAGCATAACGCGTCATTTTGGGAACATCATTGAATCACCAATTGGGACCCACGCAGTGAGGCAGTAGCCATCGCCTCCGCGCAGAAAAAGCTTATCATAGTGAATTCCAGTGCCCATTCCAAAAGGAACATTATGGCGAAGCATTGTTCGGTCGAGCAGCACATGCTGTTTCCAGCCCATCAATAGCCGGATGAATTGCGTCAGAGCGGGATGCTCGACAAAGGCACGGTACTTGGAGTCGGAGTGAGCGTCAATAAGAATTTTAGCCTCGACAGGATCAGCTGGCAAGCCTTGACCACCAATACCCTTGTGTAGATCGGGGTGAGACGCGCTGTTGAAGATACCATCCCGCGGGGATGACCCCGGTTGCAGAAGAGATGTGTTGGCATAGGCTTTGAAGTAGCTTGACCACAGTCAGTAACAGAGATAAACCCCGGAGATTCACATGCAGGCAGCGCACTTACTTCTCCCTAGCGTCTAGAACATCCTCACAGGGTAAAAGTCCTTTCACAAAGAGGTATCCATCCTCTTCAAATCGACGGCGCAGTTCGTCCAATGGAAGCCAAGGTGCAGAGGGTCGCAGCAAACCAAGATTGCCAACGTCAATGCGACCACCGTTCTGCGCCAAACCTTGTGGCAGCTCTATCGCTGCATGGGAGTGAGGGTCAAAAGATTTTGAGCTAGGACGTTCAGTATAAGCCATTTCAATTCGTTATCGAGGTTTCTGGTGTTGCGGAGACCTCCAGTTGCGCTGCTCCCGGGCTATGCCACCACTTATGAATGATAGATTGTGGACTTATTTCGGACAGAGCCTTATCAAATTTTCTCCTCTCGTGCAGCCCCATGCGGTGTCAGCTGCTTTTGCATGGATCAACCAGCATGGGAAAAGACAATCATGCAGTGGATAGCATGTTCGCCGACATTTACCATTCTGATCTTCTGGGATACTCTCGCCGGTGCTAACCGCTTTTGTCTTCGCTTGGGCATAATCCGGGGTAAGTATACAGCTGCATCAACATATATCACTCAAGTGCTGCTCGCGATCACCACAGAACGTTCCCATAGTCTAATTCAGCCAGCCTCGTCTTCACAATCATGTATGCCTTAATCCTCCTCATCCTCTGTCATCTCTTATTCTTCTACTATGGCATCCTTCCCGTTGTCAACTACTTCCGAGACCCCAAGGGCCTCCGCAAGTACCCAAAACTCTCTTTCTGGTCGGGAATCTCAAGTCTTCCTCTAGTGATCGAGTCTCACAGAGGCACGCGATACAAGCGAATTTTTGAAGCACATAAGAACCACCCAGTGCTCCGCACCGGCCCCAACATGCTATCCTACGCAGACCCCAACGCCATTAAAGACATCTACGGCCACAGCACCAAATGCACCAAGGACCTGTTCTACTCCATCACAAGCGGCTCTCATTTTCACCTCGCCGACGTCGTCAACAAGAGCGAGCACGCCCGCAAACGCAAGGTTCTGTCCAGCGCCTACGCGCTCAAGAACCTCGAATCCTGGGAGTACAAGGTCGCCGACATGACGCGGCGCATCATCACAGCTTTCGATGCCCGATGCACTGATCCCCTCCCCAGCGGCTACCGCCCAAAGGAAGAGGACTTGACGGTCGACTACCGTCTGTGGACGAACCTATTCACCATTGCGGCCATCGCAAACATCGGCCTTAGCGAAGACATCCGCTTCCTGGATCAAGGCAACGACCAGATCACATCCGAATCCATGGACGGGACCATCAAACGCGTGAGTTTCCGAGAATGCCACTTCGCGAACGGGTCGGCCACCTCGACGCTGATCTGGTGCTACGAGTGGTACCACACCCTCATCAAAGCCAGCAAGCTGCTGTCCGCCACGTTCCGCCGGAAGTGGCAGCTCAGCCGGGACTGGGACGGGATCGTCTACAGCCGCGCGCACAACCGGTGGAAGCGGCACCAGAACGGGGAGCAGCTGGACGATTTCTTTGCCGCGATGATGGCGGACAAGAACGGCGTGCCACATAACCTGGAATGGGGCGAGGTGGTCGCCGAGGTGAGTATCATGATCAACGCCGGGTCCGACACCACGGCCATCGCGCTAAGCAACGTCATGGTCCTGCTTCTGCGCCACCCGCACTGCCTCCAGAAGCTGCGCGAGGAGGTCGATGAAGTCCTGGATGAGGAAGAGGTCGTCGCGCCGTACGACAAGGTCAAGCATCTCCCGTACCTGCGCGCCTGTCTGGATGAGTCGATGCGGCTGTACCCGCCGGTCTCGTTTGCGCTGCCGCGCCGCACGCCCCCGGAGGGGACCACGATCCTGGGGGAGTTTGTGCCCGGGAACACGTCGGTCGGGATTTCGGCGTATGTCGTGCATCGCAACGAGGCCGTCTTCCCCGAGCCGGACGCATTCAAGCCGGGCCGCTGGTTGGGCGAGAAGGGCAAGGACCTGCAGCCGTACTTTGTGGCCTTCAGCACCGGCGCCCGGGGGTGTATCGGTCGCAACATCAGCTACCTGGAGCAGACCGTGTTAATCGCTTCGCTGGTGCACCGCTACGAGTTCGCCTTGCCTCATCCAACCTGGGAGCCCACGCGGCATGAGACCACGAATACGGGGCTGGGCCCTATACCCATGAAGATTTGGCGACGGGGGGAGGGTCAGCACTAATAGCGGCACGAGTCGCTAAAGTAGAATTAGATCTAGATGCGGCGGTAAGAATCCCGCATGCGACATTTACCCTAGTACTTATTGAACACACGAAGCCATTGAACCGCTGTTCACGCTTACTTCTTCGTAGCGATACTTTAAACCCCCTCCCCGCGAGTGAGGATGATTCACAGCCTCCTTTAATCGATGATTGTTCAATGGCATTGACTCGCACAAAACTCACGGCCCTCTTAAACACTATACTGAAAATGCACATTCTCCCAATCCGTCATATCCTCCTCCGCATTCAACCGGCCCAGATGCAACGACTGTTCCTTCGTCAACCCCATCTCCGCGATTACCCTATCCCGTCGAGTATTCTGCCAGATATCTACCAGATTCTTGAAGTCAGTCTCATGACACACACAAGAGCATGTCCTTCTCTCCTTCTCTCCGTCACCCCTATAATTCAACCCAATCGGGACAGCATCCGAATCCACACTTTTGAGAACCGCGAAAAAAAAATCAAGTAATAGTACAAAGAAAAGGAAAGGAAAAGAAGACTCACAGTACGACCTCCAAGCAACCATCAACACAATCTCGAGCGCATACATGACCGAACACACCACGATAGCCGGGATGTAGCGGGGCGCGTCCTTGTCACGAAAGACCTGGGCGCCGATACAGTTGCCGGCGCAATAGGCGATGAAGAGGACGGTGCCGGTGACGGATTTCTTGGTGCGGCCGGCGATGTTGGATGGGAGGAGGGTCCAGATCACTAGTGCCGACAATCTCAGAAGTTAGTGTTTGAGTCACACATATGGATCATGGTGCTGAAAACGAAGAATAGAAGGGGGAAATTTTCCGAGAAGGGGATTGGGGCTAGGAGCGTACAGGGCCCGGCAACATTGCCAATGATGGTCATGAAGTACATTCCCCAGCGGACCCAGAGTTGTCCGGCACCATGAGGTAACAGTGCCAGTGCGAGCATGCCGGTGAATGCTGGGATCACGGAGAAGATCATGATGTAGACTGAGGAGAGAAGGGATTTTAGTATCACTGAAACTTGAAAAGGAGTGACTTGCAAGGGGGGGGGCTGTCGTACAGCGAAGATTAGATCTCTTGAGGGTGATATAACCCGCCACCAGGAACCAGAGAATCGACAAGATCTGTTGGGGGATCTTGCCCTCGACGAGGGTTTCCAGGTTCGTGAAGCCAAAGGAGACATACACCAGGTTGCCGAAGGCGGTGGTTCCGCCGTTGGGAATCGAGTTCACCATGACGAGGACGAAGAAGAAGTACGTCTGAGGGTCCTGGAAAGTGATCCCCACCTGGCGCCAGTCGATGTCGCGTTTCTGCGCGTCGGACCCCGTTTGACTCGAGACGATGCGGGCCGCTGCCATCCGTTTTTCATTGTCCGTGAGCCAGCGCACCTCCCGAGGTGTGCCGAAGGTGAAATATACAAGGATAGAGAGGGCGATGGTGAGGCTCCCGAGGAAGATTGAGATTCCTTTCCATGGAGCAAGGCCTGTGGGGTGCGCTTCAGCCTCTCGGCCGATGCCGTAATTAATTAGGCTGGTCAGGACGTCCATGCCAGCATTGGCGCTACCCCAGACGACAGATCGCATCGCATGTTCTTCCTTGGTGTACCATGAGGCGGTGATGATGAGGAGGGCGGGGTATGTCGTGCACTCTGCACATTGTATATGGGTGGGTGGTTACCAAGGGCCGTTCAGTTGGCTTCAAGAATGAGAGCTCGTTCGGCATACCTGAGACACCCTCGAGGAATCGCAAAACTGCCAACCCGGCGAAGTTCTTGGCAAATGCAATGCAAAGCACGATGATACCTCGGCCATGTTAGTTTTTTTCTTCCATGTAGTGTAATGGCCTGCTGCTAGAGCTTACCCCAGCAGAACATGGAAATCGCCACGGTTATCCCGAGACCGCTGCGCTGAAGAATGTAGTTTCCAGGAGCTTCGCTGGCCAAAAAGGCAATATAGAAGATGGAAGTCAGCCCTAACGAGGAGTCCATCAGTCAGCGTAATTACCATAGCAATTTGAACTGTGGTGTACACCAACTAACATGAATACTGCTGGCCCACCAAGTGCGTATCTGTCCGCATGCCGAACGTAGCTTGTGTGGCAATTGAGGCTTTGTCGGCATACTGAGTGCCAGAAATCACCCACATGAGCGGCAGAATGATCCAGTCGATCTTCTTCCGAAGCTTGTTGTATTGTTCTTGTGTAAATTCATCCTCTGCAGCATGTACGATATCCGCTGCAACATCAGACACCTTGCCTTCGTGGATTGATGCCGTGGAAGATTCGTTGGGCTGAGCCTCGATCTTGGAGATGTCCGTTTTGGATGGGGAAGACATTTTTATTGCTGTCGGGGGATGTGAAAAGTTAACGAGGGAAGTGCTGGACGATGCAGCCCCGGATCTTCTGCCATTGATATCCCCGAGTTCTGAGACTATGCCTTCGATACCTCTGTACCTCCTGGAGGTCTTATCAGTATTGTCGGGAACATCACCAGTCGGATCTGAGGCCGACTCCGCATCTAATCTCGTGCTTATCAACCGGATCCCGGCCCGTGTCTTGTTCTTGCCATCAGTCAATTCCCTGTCTAAACTACAAAGTAGTCCAGACTCGTCGCTGTGGTTGGGTACGCAATTATTTTGCTCGACCAAGTCCCGAGACATCTGCCGTGTGTATCGTGCGGCCCAAGCCCCGTGCAGTCGATCATGTCACCATCCAAAGAACCGAAGAACTCCAGGATGATTGATATGAGTCATCATCTAAATCTGGCGTCCAGGTCGAGGCATCCGAGTCCCCTCAAAAAGATCATCCAATTTATGGCAGTGGATGATATGGTTAGTTTGGCCGGAGGTACAGTACCTAGCCACAGGCCCTGACTGACAGCTCGGGGTGTGATCTGATTTTCCCATGGGTTTTCATAGGATTGCCACATCCCTCACTCTTTCCACTCCACAATTCCACTATCACCGCTTCCAGTCCTTGCACAAGACATCAGATAAGCTTAGATCTGTCTGCTGGTGAAGGAGAAAGTTCGTTTGCTAGCTTCCTCCAGTATGGTAAGTTCACTCACTCATACTCTCTCCCTCTCTATTCCAGCATGGATCGCGGGTCTCATTAGTAATTTTGCCCAGGGAGTGGTGCAGGAAACGCGCAGCTACGGCAATGGTGCCGCGACTTCACCCAGCACGTCCATCATCCCCTTTGCGAGAGCTTTGATGTCCTTCTGCATCCGGGCAACACCAACGCTTGGAGTAAGGTGGTCAACCTTCTCTGCGAAAGAGGCGACTATATCCTTTGCGAGGAGTTCACATACCCTTCCGCTCAAGCATGTTGGATCCCGTTGGGCAATTACGCCGCACCAGTTGCGATGGACGCCCAAGGCATCCGCGATGACTCGTTGGAATCTACCCTGGCTAAATGGGAGCTGAATCACCCAGGTATCCTGAGTCCGCACGTTCTCTATCTCGTGAGCGTGGGCTCGAACCCTACTGGCGTGACAATGGGGGCTGAGCGGCGGCGTAAGATCTATGAGATCTGCGTTCGATATGGTCAGTAAGCCCTCATCCAAGCTCTACTTAGAGTCTACCAACAAAAACTCACCCCAACTCCATGACAGACATCATCATCGTCGAAGACGACCCTTATTTCTTCCTCCAATTCCCCGCATACGAACTCAACCCCCCACCCACCGACGATACAAGCACGGCAAACGAACACTTCCTCGCCAGTCTCGCCCCATCCTTCCTCCAATTCGACTACCAGGGCCGTGTCATCCGCCTCGAGTCATTCAGCAAGACCCTCGCTCCCGGCCTCCGCCTCGGATACTTCATCGCCCACCCCTTCTTCATCCAGCGCCTCCTCCTCGCCACGGAGGTCGAGACCCAAGACCCGTCCGGCCTCTCCCAAGCCGTCGCGCTCAACCTCCTCCAGACCTGGGGCGTGGACGGATACCTAACCTGGCTCCAGAACCTGCGACACGAATACCAAGCCCGTCGGGACTGGATGATCCGTGCCTTCCAGCACGAGTTCACCCTCGTCCCAGGCTCACAGCATCCCGACCTCAATGTAGCTGACTCCACCCTCGTGGCGCTCCTCAACACCGTCCCGATCTTCTCTTTCGTGCCCCCAACGGGCGGCATGTTCATCTGGGCGCAGTTCCACCTCCACGCAAACCCAACATTTCAGAAACTGCACCGCGAGAAATCTCTCGAGGATCCGGAGGAATGCTTCGCGGAGCATTTCTGGGAGATGCTGATTGAAGAACGGGTACGCTTCCACCTTGCGTCAGTTGACTTGGCTCGGGTCTTTCCTTTTTCCTATGGCTGAGAACTGATACTGATCCTGAGTCCGAAATTAGGTCCTGTTGACCCCAGGCTCATATTACCACCCCTGGCAAGGAGAAGAGAAGGTAACGACCAAGGCTCGAGGCGCGAAGCCGGCAGTGACGAACTTTCGATTTTCTTTCTCTATGACGACGGTAAGTGGATATACTGCACTCTTCTGCTGTGAAGTTTGCTAATCTGTGGTGGCAGAGAGAGGAGATGGAGTGTGGCATTGCTCGTCTTGCAAAGGTGGTTCGAGCTTCTTGGGAGCTTTGACCGGAGGTATAACTTATCGTGTATCCCATGACGCCGTGCTTTGGGGAAAGCCCACATTGCTTTCTTGCGCCCTCGTTGGCGCGATGTGGTTTGAGGCATGGTGAACTGCATACGCAGTATAACCCTCGTAAAAGAAAAGAACATGCCCCCCTTTGGAAGGGTAATCGCATGGGCATTGGGCCAGTTTCGGAGCACTTTGGTGATGAGCTATCCTGCACAGTATAGAAAAGAACCCTTAAGATATACCACTATGGCACGACATTCTCTAGGGTATTTCGGGCATGGTGGTCGAGAAGAAGCAGTTGAAGTCGCTGACGAGCTTTTTGTAAGCGTCGCCATCTGCCATATCAAGTATGGGTGGGGCCTTTACAGTAGTACACTGCGTGGATATAGCTTTTCTGATCTGGCTCAATGATCAAGCTCTGGGCAATATGATACTATCCCAGTAGTGACCTCCAATGTTGCGAAACTTTTGTAGGATGGGTAGGTTGTTGCTGGCATGGGAAAGTTTGTGCATGATACATTCCAAGCTCTAGTGTTCTTGTTATGCTATACTCAGGTCAGTGAAGATTCGGTGGCTAATGTCTTCCGAAAGATCCGAGTTTGTCAGGCGGGCTTGTCGGATGGGTGTCAAGTGTGCCACTAGCGAGTATCGGCTAAGCCATTAATACAATTTTCGAACAGAGAGCTACGCTGATCATCCAATCAAGGAGACGAGTACAGTTGCACAATTGAACCCCATGGTCCCCTCCATTGTTGTTAGTTATGCTTCGGCGTGAAAGTCATTGTGGGTAGAAAAGTGGGTGGTATTTATTAAGGAGTTATTATGTAGACTAGGAATCACTTTTTAAAAAAGGGCAGTCTAGTGAAACGAAGAAAGTCCGGAAATGGGTCTACTCTTGCCAAAAAGAACAGAAGAAGAATAAAAGAGCAATTTCGCCCATCCTTGCATCCAGCCATGCCGAGACTCGCTTAGATGATGGAACCGAGAGCAATGCAGGGAAGAGCGACGCCGATAAGGTCGTCGGACTGTTGGGTTGTATTAGTTTAGAAGCTCTTCTGGCATAGAATGGGAATTTTCGAGATGACACTCACAGCATCGGCACCGCTGTACTGGCAGCAGGCAATGTTTTGCTTGCACTGCTGGTTGAGGATATCCTGAGCGTCGATGGCGAAGATGGGGACTGAAGGGAGAAAGGTCAATGTTAGCATTACTCGTGTCTTGGGTTTCATTTCTGGCTGCAGCCGATGATAGGATCATGCTGACGGAAGACGTACTCTCGAGATCGAGCTTGGAGCACTGGTCGAAGAGACCAAGACCCTCAGAGCCAGAGCCAGTACCGGCAATGTTGCCGAGGAGACCGGCCAGAGCACCCTCGTCGATGGTGGTGGTGTCGCCGGCGTAGGTGGCCTTGTTGCAGCAGGAGAGCTGAGCCTGGTTACCGCACTTGGCAGAACCCTGCTCGATGGTCCAGTCATCGGGGACGGAGTAACGGGGCTTGTCGCCCTTGTCGCCCTCAGCAGCGCGGACTTCAAGGTTGCGGGCGGAAGGACCACCGACGGCAGCGGTGGCGGTGGCCAGAGTGGCAGCAGCGAGGATGGCGAAGAAACGCATGGTGATGGTTTGAGATGAAGAGGGTTGGGTTTTTGGAGGTTTGATAGATGGTTTGATTGGAGTGAGAGATGGAGAGATGATGATGATGGCGGATTCGAAAACGACGGAGCAACAGACGGTATATATGCCTTTTCAGAAGGTCTGTTTGTGATTGATGTTTACCTCTGCCCCTGCCCTTTCATTGTTTGGTATACAGGACGTTGATTTGGGCATTCCAGTTCTCCGTTGCATTCCTAGCAAGGGAAGCTTTCCGGTTGCGGCGCTGGGGCGTTGCAATGACGGGACGGCGTTGCACGGCACCCAAGATATCCGAGTTCATGATTGCGACCGAATGTGACGCTGTCCAGAGCCCTTTTCTTTCATCGATCCCTTTGGTCCCTGGTTCAGATGCTTAGTTTAGGTTCATGAAGGGGTAAGCGTGAGCAGATCTTGTCCCGGAAACAGTGGCATTGACTTTTCATTCTGGCTGGCATTCCACTCCTTATCGCGGATCTTCAATTGTTCCAACAAGGGAGAGAAGAGAACGAGTCATAGAAAACAACACCAAATATTCTAGACCCATTATACTGAGCAAGAACGTGCATGTTAGCGGAGAAAAAAACTTTGCATGCTGGGAGGAAAATCCCTCACATGGTTATCCACATAGACTCAATCTGTGTCTCGTTCTCTCCTTCCAATCCTGACCTTCGATTCCCCCTTCGTACGCGCAAGTCATTCGACTCTTTTTATGAGGATCTGCGGGTAATGCAGGACTAGCTCAATTCCTCCAGAATGAGTTTATGCATCTCGGTTGACCTGCATTTGCATACTAGCTGCTGGGAGAACTTGCCCCGGAAAGACTATGTTGTTAAGCTCAATGATGGGCGTGCAGGGCGGAGTGCGTGCGAATCGGAGAATATTCATTGCGACGTTATGCTCGATGGCTCAGTATCGACCTACTATGCCCTGACAATCTAATCTTTGTGAACGATGAAGGGGTCTGCACAAATGTGCGCTGTGACCACTCTAAGAAGTACTTTGTCATGATGGAGGCATAGTATGTAGTTGCACACTCGCACCAGTGGCTTCCGTAGCCAAGGCCGCACCAACGGCAAGTAAAATCGATGCTTGGTGATTTGGGCGCTCCGCGAGAGTTTGATCGGTCGCTTTGCTCGTCTGAACCTCAAGCGTCCAGATAATGGTCGGTACTCCCTTTTATGAATTCCGCAAATTACATCGTCCAATCATGCGTAGTCACTTGTAGTGCGTTTCTCTCGACGTATACTGGGCCGGATCCGCTAGAGAATCCGGCCAAGCCTCGTGTTCGTAAAGCAATAGAGTAGTCATTCATCTAACTTTGAAGGACTGCATCTTGTACCTGAATATATAGTTATTGCGTGATCAAAGTAAAGTATGGCGGCAACTGATCGCTGGGGTGAAGCATGCGACCGGCTTGTTGTGTCAACACATGGCAGTTGTGGTACGAAGTAAATATATATCGATCAAGCCACATGCATGTGGACCATTCTGGTGCTGGGATCATGGATTATGGATGTTTCCTTTCGTCTAGAAGAAAAGTGTACAGATGAAAGATAACTTATCGAGAACTCTGCATAATGAGTTTACTTCAACATGCCCAGTAGCTTCCCAGATATAATCCATAACGATAGATTGAGAAAGAGCCCCGTGATGACGATCACAAAGAAAGTTACGGATGCCCCAGGCGCCAAGGCGGTGAGAAGCGCAACCTCAACCGCCTCCCCGCAAGCCTTCGGCTGGCCATCGACGTCAGCCTCACAGAACCCCCCGTCGTCGTCAACATGAAGATCGTTTACATCGGAGTGAGTGCTCCTTATCTCTTCCTTCTCTTGTGACGACTGTCTCTAACGCCTACGCCGATCTAGATCCTCCAAAATGGCCAGGCCCCCGCGGTGGAGCTCTGCGCCGAGCGTGAGCTCAGCAGCTACTCGCGCTTTACCAGGGGTAGCATTAGCGAGTTCATGACTATGTTCAGCAAGACCGTTGCCGAACGCACGAAACAAGGCCAACGACAGGATATCCAAGAGCAAGGCAAGTCTTCCGCCCGCTATTTCGAGTTTTTTATCCATCTAGTCCTATTCGACCATCAGCCCCTGACCGCCAGATCGCAGACTTCACATTCCACGTATACGCGCGCACCCAGGGCATCGCCGGTGTCATCATCAGTGATAACGAGTACCCTTCCCTCGCCGCTCACCAGGTCCTTTCCAAGACTCTTGACGAATTCCTCACCCTTCACCCGAACGCTGGTTCCTCGCGGGAACCGATCTCCTTCCCCTCGCTGAAGACCTACATCCAAGCCTACCAGGACCCTCACCAGGTGGACAGCATCCTCAAGATCCAGAAGGAGCTGGATGAGACGAAGATCGTACTTCACAAGACCATCGAGAGTGTGAGTGGATGGTCCTGGGCTGCAGCAGGTGGCCAGTCAGGTGACAGGGCTGACTCTCTAAACTAGGTCCTCGAACGCGGCGAGAAGATCGATGATTTGGTATCCAAGTCGGAGGGTCTGAGTGCACAGTCGAAGATGTTCTACACCTCGGCGAAGAAGCAGAACTCCTGCTGTGTGATCATGTGAGGGCGCATGGGATGACGCCGACTCGAGTCGCCAGTACAACCCCGGCGGAAATACACCAGCGACCGACTATCATGACTTCGTTTTGAGAGCGTTCTTTGTTTGCTACAGGGCATTCGTTTGCAGTTCTGGACCAGTATTGCTTGATTCATGAATAGGGATGGGAACACCCGGGTGCTTCGAGTTACGGGAGAGAAAGGCGGGGGGGAGGGGGTTTAGAATAGGCATTCTTATTTGCTTTAAGACCCGAAGAGCAGCAGTCAATGCAGTGTGGGCTTTGATGATTTGACGCCGCCGTGCCGAGAAGGACAGCGTAGCGACTCAACTGGAACGTAGTTATCTCCGCGCCCTCCCCCTCTATTTTTGCTCGTCTCGCTGTTTTGGTCATGGCGGTGGATCGGGAAGAGGGGCATATCGACGGACCATCCTTATCTATTGAGGAAGGGCGATGCTGGCGGTGGTGATTGGTGGTAGGATCAAGCTCACAAGTATTAGACTTATTTATTGCAAATTAGTGGGTGATTATCAGGGCTACGAACCCACTGATCCCCCAGTCGGGCCCTACCCGTGGTTCCCGCCTAGGAGTTGGGAATGGCTACATTTCGGCCAATTCTTCTACCGTGGAGGTGATTTTGGGGAGTGGAAAGTGCTGGGCAGTAAGCTAGACTACTGTGTAAGTACGATTGCGACAATTTCAATCTATACATGCTAACTTTTCTGACTGCAGACTTCTTGCCAGTCAACCAGCGGTGAATAAGAGTCCGATTAAGCAGCCCTGAGGCCAGCCTCACGCCCCTCGTCTGGTCATAGCCCAATAGTGAACTCCACCCCCTGAGGACTGCCCCTCCCTCTTCCTCACCTACACTTCACCCAAGTCGTATTCTTCTTCTAGAACACGATCCACACCCACAACCAACAGCCTCAGTTTCCATTATGTAGCAGCATCGGCCTGGGGCTGCCTATCATTTTTTATGCCCGAGGCTACCCGGGTCCCGGCCCGGTTGGCTTCCATTGGTCACACCCGCCGAAGATGCCCTCGCTCCGAACGGATATTGTTCCTTGTAGGTGCCAGCCAGTGCCAGTGCTTAGGTATTGTGCACTGTGGGAATTATTGACGTTGCTCAAACTTGGGATACGCCCATTACCTTATTTTGCTCGGCTTTATTATTTTATTATCACGCTGGGTCCCCGCGGTGACCCTCTTCGCTTTGTCGCCTGCCTGCTACTTTCATTCCTTTCATATCCAGTTCAGCGTTACGTTCTAGCCATTTGTATGCATCCGTAGGTGAGTACTGCCCTATACTCTATATTGCCCGTGTGCATGTCTGACTGACTGAATACCAGATACCCTTACTACTACACCATTCTTTCCACGCCTCTCCTTTGTTCATAGGATAGCCTGAGAATATCTCCTCTGTTGGAACCTCCACCGTCACCTTTCTAGGGCCAGGGGTGCCCTTTTACTCAACGTCACCATGGATCATGATTTCGTTCTCCAGCAGACGCTCCCGTGGAGCTTACAGCGCAATCGGTTGGCAGAACTTCTGACGGCGGATTTCACGGTTGCTGCAGGCTCAGCAGCTTTGGTCACTCCGGCCGTGATGATTCTGGACAGGTACAGCTTACCTGGCTTCTCGAGAGCGAATGCACGTATTGACTCTCAAATTAGACTGGTAGTGGAAAAGTCCTCTCACAATCAACCTCTTTTGCCGGCATTTCGTCGACATCTGTGGCTCTCTATCACGCAACCTGCGACCTTCCTCACCTCGCGACCCAGTCTGCTCGTCTGGTCCCTCTACACCGCAACCTTTGCCGCGGCTAATGCCACCGAGACCGTCCTCAGCGAGGTCTATCCACACATCGACCACGCCCTTGCCACGACGTCGACCTTCCTAACCACGTTCGTGGTTAACTCCTCCGTTGGCATCTGGAAGGACGTCAAGTTCGCTCAACTTTTCGGCCACAACCACAACACCAGCACCGCGGGGACAACCACGCCCCCACCCCCGGCAGCGGCATCAACTCCGGCGGCAGCAGCAGCAGCTACCAAACCAACCGCTGCTGCAGCCGCCGCGGCATCCCAAAGCAAGATCCTCCGCTCTGTGACCCGCTCTATTCCCTTCGCTACCTACTCCGCCTTCCTCATCCGCGACGCCCTGACGATTTTCGGCTCCTTTAGCCTCCCGGCGATGGTCTCCGCCTCAATCCCAGACTCGATCACTTCGAGTGAGTACGCCAAGATCCTCCTTGCGCAACTGGCCATCCCAGCCTCGATCCAACTCATCAGTACCCCGATTCATCTGCTTGGTTTGGACCTCTACAACCGACGCATGGCGATCCCGGCCGCAGACCGAATGGCGCGAGTGAGTCGGGATTGGATCGGGGCGTCGCTGACGCGGATGTGTCG